TAAATACAGAGATGGCCCTGATGAATCTCTGGTGATATCGAAAGCTAAGAGATGAACTTGAAGAAGTTATACAATAACAGGATATATTCTACACTGCCCAGAGCCGCTCTCTGAGAAAGATGGACAGTTAAGAAATATGAAATAGAGATAGATAGATAGATGATAGATAGATAGATGATAGATAGATAGATAGATAGATAGATAGATAGATAGATAGATAGATAGTTCATGCTTTAAGTGCCATGGACCTCAACTTCCAGCTTTCATGGAATTGAAGTCCATGCATCTTCAAGTGGCCATGGATGAGCAATACTATCATCACCATCACTCCAAAATCATCCTTATGACTCTGACTCCTGACCTAGATTATCTCCAAGGCACCCAAGTATTTAAAAACTAAAATCTTATTACAATTTATAGAGCCTCCAGAATGTCTGTGTTGCTTGTGAATTCTAGGAGCTGAAGTGCAAAATAACGGCAGAGAAATTCATGTTCTCAACTGAAAAACTGAGTCAAATTCAATTAATTTCCATTCTGATATGTGCTGAAATAGGCACCCTTAATGGATGTTCAGCAAAGAGGAACAAATTGTACTAACACATATACTGCTCAAAAAAATAAAGGAAACACAAAAATAAGACATCCTAGAACTGAATGAATGAAATATTCTTATTAAATACTTTGTTCATTACATAGCTGAATGTGCTGACAACAAAATCACACAAAAAATATCAATGGAAATCAAATTTAGCAACCCATGGAGGTCTGGATTTGGAGTTACACTCAAAATTAAAGTGGAAAAAAACACTACAGGCTGATCCAACTTTGATGTAATGTCCTTAAACAAGTCAAAATGAGGCTCAATAGTTTGTGTGGCCTCTACCTGCCTGTATGACCTCCCTACAATGCCTGGGCCTCATCAGGAGGTGGCAGATGGTCTCCTGAGGGATCTCCTCCCACACCTGGACTAAAGCATCCCCCAACTCCTGGACAGTCTGTGGTGTATCGTGGCATTGGTGGATGGAGCGAGACATGATGTCCCAGATGTGCTCAATTGGATTCAGGTCTGGGGATCGAGCGGGCCAGTCCATAGCATCAATGCCTTCATCTTGCAGGAACTTCTGACACACTCTAGCCACATGAGGTCTAGCATTGTCTTGCATTAGTAGGAACCCAGGGCCAACCGCACCAGCATATGGTTTCACAAGGGGTCTGAGGATCTCATCTCGGTACCTAATGGCAGTCAGGCTACCTCTGGCAAGCACATGGAGGACTGTGTGGCCCCCTAAAGAAATGCCACCCCACACCATTATTGATCCACTGCCAAACCGGTCATGCTGGAGGATGTTGCAGGCAGCAGAACATTCTCCACGGCGTCTCCAGACCCTGTCACGTCTGTCACATGTGCTCAGTGTGAACCTGCTTTCATCTGTGAACAGCACAGGGCGCCAGTGGCGAATTTGCCAATCTTGGTGTTCTCTGGCAAATGCCAAATGCATGGTGTTGGTCTGTAAGCACAACCCCCACCTGTGGAGTAGGGCCCCCGTACCACCCTCATGGAGTCCGTTTGAGCAGCCACATGCACATTTGTGGCCCACTGGAGGTCATTTTGCAGGACTCTGGCAATGCTCCTCCTGTCCCTCCTTGCACAAAGACGGAGGTAGCGGTCCTGATGCTGGGTTGTTGCCCTCCTATGGCCTCCTCCACGTCTCCTGATGTACTGGCCTGTCTCCTGATAGCGCCTCCATGCTCTGGACACTACGCTGACAGACACAGCAAACCTTCTTGCCACAGCTCACATTGATGTGCCATCCTGGATGAGCTGCACTATCTGAGCCACTTGTGTGGGTTGTAGACTCCGTCTCATGCTACCACTAGAGTGAAAGCAACGCCAGCATTCAAAAGTGACCAAACCATCAGCCAGAAAGCATAGGAACTGAGAAGTGGTCTGTGGTCACCACCTGCAGAACCACTCCTTTATTGGGGATGTCTTGCTAACTGCCTATGCTTTCCACCTGTTGTCTATTCCATTTGCACAACAGCATGTGAAACTGATTGTCAATCAGTGTTGCTACCTAAGTGAACAATTTGATTTCATAGAAGTGTGATTAACTTGGAGTTACATTGTGTTGTTTAAGTGTTCCCTTTATTTTTTTGAGCAGTGTATATTTCTTCCCTTTTCCTTCAAGTATTGGATATGAATCACAGCTAAAATGTGCACAAAAGCTGAAATTTCTTTTTTCAAACCCCAAGGGAAGACTGTGGCCAGATTTGGAAGTTGAATATTACAGAGTACCTTTTCAAGGAAAATCTTGAGTCTTTCCTGCTGCACATCTAAATGGGAACTAAATTGCCCTTGGTCTTTGTCAGGATTCATCTAACATTACTAAAAAAAAATTAAATTGATGGCTTAAATATTGTTTAGTTTTGTTACTAGTATCATTGGGGAGGAAATCAGGACGTAAACATGATGTCCCATATTGTGCAGAGGGACTTAAATCCTGTGAAATAGAAAATATATTTGATTGAGTCTTACAGCAGGCTGTTAGTTGAGCTTTAAATTTGGCCAGCCCTCAAAAGTTTTCCTTTGATATCCTTCATTAAGGAAACTTATTGTTTTCTATTATGGCTTTTTAGTCCAGGATTAAGGAAGGTATCCACCACCTTAGATTCCAAACTATACTATCGTCATATTTCCACAAAGTATCCAAGTAGCAGCATTTTTGTACATGTAGTATGAAATAGGCAGGTATCAAACAAGTGCAGTCCTACCCTTCTATGATGTAACCATCCATATTATTGAATACCTTAGGGACTCTGAAGATGAATGTGTAGATTTTTTTGGGGGAAGGACAAATATATTTCCTTATACTAGTTTTCAAATGACTATTCTTATTTTGTCTTTTAAAATTACAAAGAAATTTTAGACTGTCAGACTTTCTAGGTCTCAAGCCAAGGTGAAGTTGTAGACTTAGCCTTGTATGGTTTTCAGTTCAGATTAATGGTATAACTCCACATTTCATGAAATTTAATTTATTCTGCTTTATATATTACTACGAACTCTGATATATTGAGTAGCTTACAACAAATTTAGTAATTCAAACTAGTTATATGGTGGCTAATAATGCTCAATCTGATGTGTCATATTTCAGGAATAGGATGGTCTTTACTCATCCTTGAATAATTTTCACCGCTTTTTGAAAGCTTAGAAAAAAGAGGTTAGGCCAAATATCTGAGGATGGGCTGTTTTAAAAGAGAGAGTGGTTTATTTATGCTTCATACAATATATCACATATTATACTACTGTTCTAAAATAAGGTTATAATAAATTCACTACTACTACTACTGCTGCTACTACTACTACTACTACTACTACTACTACTACTACTACTACTATTACTGTTCCAAAGGTGCTTTTTCAAAAGGCAACTGGACTTTCTGTTTTTTCCTTGAAGTCATTTCACTTCTCATCCAAGAAGCTTCTTCAATAAGAAGCTAAAAGTCTTCAAAGAAAAACCAGAAAGTCCAGTTGTCTCTTGAAAAAACACCTTTGGGACAACCATGATTTGGATGACTGAGAATCTCCATAGACATATTGCTATTACTCTATACCAGATTGCAGTGGAAAGAAACTTTTTTAAAATCATAAATACAGTGTAGTATATAAATCTTTTTCTTTTTTTCCCCCTTTGGGTAAACATATATTTCTAGTGACTGGTAATTGATCACACTAAAATTGTACTGTGATATTGTAAATTTCTTCTTATTCTATCCATGATATAGCAGCTATTTCATGGTTGGGAATGGAGTTCTAAGGAAAACAGAAGCTGGGAGCAGGGAGTAGTAGATTCTTGCTTTATGTAGTCAACTCTGTTGAAGAGAGAGAAAGGCCATTTTTCATAAGTATTATGAAATATAATATGACTTTTTAGGTAATAGAAAGTATGTACTCTTAATGGCCATTTTAGGTGGTTTTTTTGGAGTTCCTGATACAATGAAAATGCCTGGAGGAAACTGTTTTTTCCAGTTATGTATATACTCTAACAAAATGATCGAGCCAAAGTCAAACGTTTCAAAGGGATTCAGTGATTTCAATAGAACAGTCAGATATAATAGGATGCTTAGCTTCCATGGCTTCCACTGACAAAACCATTCTTGTGTCACACCTATGCAGCACATATTTGTGTTTAAACATCACAGACCATTATATCTAAGCAAATTAAAGGATACATGGATCAGAATGAATTTTCCTAAGGATTTTATAAAAGGCTGACTTCAGGGGATCTGTACCGGATTGTTTGTGTGAATGTACATTTCCCCATTCTTTGGGGAAAGTTCTTCCTTATAGCATGAAAGCATTTTCACAAACAGCATGACTGGTATGCCACAGAGAAAAGTCATCTGGACTTCCTGTAATCCCACTATCCTGCATTGACCTAATGTAGAAATATTTCTCATGCTAGCTCCTTTTCTCATTACTACTTTGGTGTTTTCTTTTAATTAAGCAGCTAAAGTGGCTCAAATATATTATATTCATTATATAATGATGGCCTCTTCTATTCTGTTCTTGTTCCCTCCTTCCCCAGCTTCCTCAGGCTCAAAAGGTAAACTACTTTCAGTCAATACTTGAAGAAATCACCAACTCCTCACGCTTCTACATCATGAAATTACTTTACAATGATGATCAGTGAAATGCTTAACAATGTCAGCACTAATGAACTGGAGAGCATGACATTGTTTAAATTAGAGCAGGACTCTATGTATAGGCATATCACCCACTGAGTTACAATTGAGACACAACATGAGAGTAATTTAAACCAAATGAAGACAGGGTGGACTACTGCTTTGTGCAAATAAAGGATGCATTTTGTTTTTACTTAGAAAAAAATGGGAAGCCTTAATCTTTGGGATAACCATGACCTGGATGACTGAGAATCTCTATATAATCTCTACAGACTGGTAGCCTTAATCATTACAGAGAAGTCATTCAAAGGTATTTATTCTAGAGAAACAAATGAACTATATACACAGCTATATTCTTTCACTGGTCTCCATTGTATTGTCTTCTCAAAAGCCTCTGAGTGCATCTAACATACATGTTGTGCAGAAAAGTTTCCATGCAGTGTGCTGGTATTATTAGTGTACAGCTTCTGCTTTGATATGGTCTGTTCCAGAGCTATCTCATAGCATTTCATGATCTCACAAATAATAATGGCGGCTGCTACAACATATCACTTGGTGCCCATTGCCATTTCATGTATAATTTACAAATGTAATTGAGATAAAAGTATAACAAAAAATGCCTCAAAGTGGAATGCCATCATATAATTAGGAAACACCATCTGTAGCTTCCAAGGATTCCACTAACATGGTAATACAGTAATCTCTATTTTAAAATTTATTCTTGAAGGATCTAACTTCAGTTGTAGGAGTCTGAAGGCCTTTCAGTCTATGTGCCTAGCTTGATTTATTTTTTCTCTATTTTTGAACTGCAGCCTTTCACCCCACCCATTCTTCTCTCCTGATCTTGCTATCTCCTGATCTTGCTAATCTATTCGTGCAGACACTGTCTGCACGAATAGATTAGCAATAACATTTTCTATGTTTAACCTAGACAGAAGCAAGAATGGTTTTATCTGGGTATTATTATTCTTTAAACCATCTATAGTTAGGGAAGAACCTTAATTTGATGGGAATTGTATTTAATAATATTTTATATTTTCTTTACTGGCTGTTTTTCTTACAAATAGTTTCTGACTATTCTTCTCATTGTACAAAAAAGAAAATTTCTACTCTTTTGCAGTGAAAATAGCCATGGATGGGCAAACTTTAACGGAAAAAACAAACCCCTATGTTATAGAGAATTATTCAGCATCTTATCCTTTTGTTTTTTTAAAAAACCCCACAGTTTCTTAAAAATTATAATCGCCTTTTAAACTAGCCTCATTCACAGTGATTTGTTATGAAACTGAATAGTGACAAAGCAAAAGTTTGTTAAATATTCTCTTTCATGTTGCAAGTAAGATGTCTTTCACGCTCACAATTTTGAAATAGCTATGGTGGTAGACTGGAAAGGATAATGTTCCTAAAGTTCTTCTGGTATTAAATCTTACTACATATGATTGATGCAACATTGTTCGTTGTAATATTTGCACAGGAGTTTTGTAGTTTTTAAGCATACTATCACAGGTTCAGGAATTCTGGCTTAGACTTCTAAAAGCAAAGAGATACAGCCATTTCCTTCTTGAATCCCTTATGTTCAGTTCTTTAATGATCCAGCTAAATGCCAGGATCACCACTAGAAAGTATGAAATAAGTTTTAAGCTTATATTAATCTCTTTTGCAAAATATTAGGAAAATATAACTATATCTTCATTTTGCAACATGATCTCCAAATCACTGAGTACAATTTGTAGCAGTGGTGGGATTCAATTTTTTTTTTACTACCGGTTCTGTGAGTGTGGCTTGGTGGGCATGACAGGGGAAGGATACTGTAAACTCTCCAGTCAGAGGTGGTATTTTCCGGTTCACTGAACTATTCAAAATTTCCACTAGTGGTTTTCCACAACTGGTCAGAACCTGCTGAATACCACCTCTGATTTGTAGGCACTTTTGGTAAGAAGTGGGCAGTATGAAAAATGAAATAAATTACAGCAGCATTGGCTTTCTTGCAATATCAAAAAATGTTAAGGGACTGCAAGGTTTAATACATTTGCCTCATTAGTCAGTTTTCTTTTCTTGGACTTGTTCCATCTTTACACTTCTAAGGAATTTTCATCAATTATTTTCCATATTATTTTTTGCTTTTGCAGCAGTCATTTTTAATTTTCAGCATTTTCTTTGGGCTGAAAATATAACATTGATTCTAATCATCCTTGAGCTAGCTGCCCTCTTCCCTAAGCTACATTCAAGAGCAAGTAATTTGTGACCCTCCAGATACTAATGAATTTCAGCTCCCCACAATTCTCATCAGGGCTCTTGCTAGAAGATTTAATGGAACCATATTTGAAGGGTCAGAGGCTTCTTTCTCTGCATTAACTAAACAAACAAAATGGTTTGTTAATATTAATATATGCACATTTTTCAAAGCACTAATATTTCCTCAGTGCATTAGCAGAAATATATTTCTTAATTAAGAATATACTCCTATGTATACTACTTAGAACTGCATCTAACTTCCATGGCTTTTACTGTTTCAAAAATGTCCATACTGACATATCTCTGATGGTAGAGCCATTTAATGCAAGATTCCTACAAATATTCTTTGAACACTAAAAAAAAACCTTGCTAGGGTAAATGCAGTACTATTGAATTGCACACTTAGTGTGGGCACAGTGAACAGCTTCTTTGGATCAAGAGTTACAGTCCTCAGAAAGAAAGATTTGATTGAGCGACATTGTCACCATCAGATCTATTATCAAGGAAAAGTAATTGTTGGTTACTGAGATGAACATGATACAAAACCCTGAGTGAAATGGTTGGTTGGATAAAAAGGCATTTTCTTAATTTTTAATCCTACAATTATAACATTCAGATTTTTGCCTAACCAAGTGGAACTTGATGAGAAGTTTTCAAATCCATCTGGCATTTTGAAGAAGCTCACTGCACAGGTTGATGCATTCTTTATGAATGACTGAGTCAACACAAGTGCACGTTTTCCCATATGGTGGCTGAATATGTGCTGTATTTTGTTTGAATCTATATAGCAGTGTTTCTCAATCTTGGCAACTTTAAGGTATGTGGACTTCAGCTCCCAGAATTCCCCAGCTAACCATGCTGTGATTCATTTTGCATATAAGTAGTCATTATTGCAAGAAGCAGTACTCTTTTTCTATTACTGTCAGCCATAGTCACTGAAATTATCAGGGTTGCAATTAAAGAGAACTGTGTTTTAAATAACTTATATTTTCTGACCTTTCATTGGTGTATCTTCATTCTGAAGAATATATTTAAATTTGCCATATTAAATTTTTTGTAGTTGCATATGTATCACAAACATACATTGCAATGATGAAATATTAGTGGTTCCCAGAGAAAAGCAAGGCAAATTAGAAAGACTGTATGATAAAATCAAATATAACACTTGCAGCAAAAGTAACTATAAAGCTATGAAAATACTGAAAACTAGCAATGTGCAAATCACCCAGGATCTGATTTTGATTAGTGAATTGATTCAATGGGTTGATTCAATTTGAAGAACCAACTCTACAGTATTTGATTTGAATTAATGGTAAGAAAAAAAATGTGTGTACATGTGCACAAGTCCATTAAATTGGTTCCAAGCCACCTGATTTGATTTAATGCATTCAACTGATTCGGCTGTTTGATCTAAAGTTTGATTCAAAGCAGCAATTCAGTCCCTTTGCCTTTGAACAGTTTTCACAATCCTACTAAAATAATTTCCATTTGGGGAGGTGGGGGGGCACTCAGTTTGAAGCCTGTCCTCTTCAAATATATTTATTGCTACCTATTCTAGGATCTTTCATGCCTCAGATTAACTCAGGATAATCTACTGCAGACTGAATCATAATTAAAATTGTCATTTCTGTGGCCACCCCCTTACTTTATTTACTTGTTTGTTGTAAGGGCACTTGGAGATTACATCCTTGAGTTTAAAATATAGGCTGATAAATATGGAAGGAGACATTGCTTCATCTAATCTGCCTCCAAGTCATTTAAGGCTCTGTAGGTTAAAACCTGCATTTCAAATAAAATCCATTTGGAAACGGACAAACTGCTAGTGCAGATGACAAAAATATATAATATGATTAAAACAGACATCTAGTAACCCTATTATGGACTCAATGGGATTTTTAAAGGCAGAATCACATATACCGTGGCATGGCATGGCAGTCATCCAGATGGGCAATTTTCAGAACATAAATTGATAAATTAGTTGCCTTAGTTTGGGAACAATCATTATACAACTAAACTATCTTTCACTGCTCATTCTTGTAACAGAAATAGATCCAAAAAGCATCCTCAGCTACATAGCTGAAAGTTTATTAGAGGTTCACTAGTTCAGAGCAGTAATCACTACTTAGGAGGACAGCTGAATCACTTACATTCAATTATTTTCATCTGATTTGAATTAAGTTGTTTTCAGAAAACTAGAACTCTTTTCCTTTTATACATCTGTAGGTTTCCTCCTGATTCAATGATAGTTCCTATTAGTGATCAGCCAAGAAATAAGTCAAACTTGTTTGGTTATAAATGATCAAAGAAACTTTATGATTCAACTTTGTATACTGGTCAATATAACATCTAAAAAAAAAACACCATAATACGTCACCTTTGTCAGACTGTATCAAATTTATTTTCACTTTAGCTATCTTTATGATTATGTCAGTCACTCTCTATGAATTGCCAATCTCTTGGCAGCATTTTTTATACCTATGATATGTACATATGCTGGTATCATTTAAGCATAATTAAAGAAATAGCAGTATAATTCTTAGTTTTTAAAATTATGACTATCAATTACCATTCAGAACATTTTCATGAATATGGGGCAGATTTCAAATCTTAGAATTACCTGTTATTTCATGTGTAGTGAAATATATATATAGAGAGAGAGGGAGGGATGGATGGATAGATTTTAGAA